AAAAATCGACGCATTTTAGAATGGCGGGGCATAGAGGAGAAACAATAATGTACAGTATGTGTTTTTTGAACCTTAAACCGCATACACACATTTCATTACACCAAATACACAAAATAATGTTCTTTTTAGCAACATCATATGACCCCTTTAAACATTATTTTTTTACTTTCTACTGACAAAAACTACATCTTCACTGGATTTATGCTTTGAAGTTTAAATGCAATCACAATCAAAACCTGGCACATGCCTCTTGTAAATTATTTCCATCAGGGAACACTTGCCACATCCTACAGCCTCATCCTAGCCTACTCCATCTCTGTTTGAAACCATCTCCCATGAGGAAACACTCCAGCTTTTTAAACACCTACTGCTGAACTGCCTCTCCATACAAACCTCCAAAATATCTCTTCTGACCTCCTCCCATCAATCTCACCTCATGAATCCATTCTTGACCAGTGGCTCTGCTGCATCAGGTTTTAAAACCTCCCTACAGACATTATTTACCAGCACCATCAGGTCTGCTTATTATCCAGCATGCTAAAAGATCTGGAAAGGGCTGAAAAATCAAAACTGGACAGACAACCAAACATTTTGGATCTATTTGAAGTTGCAATGCACCTTACCAGTACTGTTATCAAATAGTATTGATGAAACTATCAAAACAAAGTTTTGCCATCTATTAGCCATCTTTATGTTCTGTTAGGTGTGTGGCAATGTTTCCCATTTAATGGTCTTTTGAAAAAAAGAAAGTATAGCAATTTATATAATGATGCACACAAAATAAATTATCATATCTCAAGAGAATTTATACATACTGCATGGAGAGTTCACATTCGTTATCACAGAATAACAACCAGGAGCAAGATTATGCAAGCCATTTTCACACATCACTGGACTCGAAAACAGAAATGCTTGTAGCACTAAAGGAAGTCTGGTATTATGTGCTATATTACAAACCTTTCAAATGAAACCTTTCTGCTCCAAAGGATCTCTGACCCTTTATGTACTGATGTAAACCATGTAAAATTAAGAAATGCATTTCAAGAGATCTAGAGCAATTTCAGGTTACTACATGAATTTTGCTCAGTCTGTTAAACTACAGGCAAGTGAAATATGGTACCCTGTTCTATTAATTCATTTATTTTTCCAATCCAACTTTGGCTGCATCCGAAAACTTTAGACAGCTTACTTGCTGCCTCGCTGCCGTATGAGGCAATGACTTTGCAGGCAGCGTTTTTGCACGAAGGCACCTCATGAAACTGATTTCGGACAGGCTTCTGAGGCAGAGTAACGGTTTAATGATCTACAGCAAAATATAGAGAGCTTTGGTGATAACTAAGTGAATATTTCATTACTGCAATATTAATTTCTCGCTAGAAATGACATCAAAAGTGGAAAACGTTGATCAAAAACGTACATTTACACACAAACTGACCACCGACCGCAACTTTCAGACGCCATCTTTATTTTTAGCTTAACTGTCACAGAATGGAACGCACAGGATTGTGGGATATCAAAGGCAGCGAAGGATACATCTATGTTTCCTTCAAAAATCGGCCAGATGAAGGCATCTCAGAAGACAGGAACTGAAGCTAACATTGAATTCGGATGTGCCTTGATGCCTTCCTACCTTGGAATGCGTCCTCCGAAGGCAGCATTTTTCCGTTTTCGGATGCAGCCTTTGTCTAATGTATTTCAGTAGAAATGTTATCCAAAGGTGATTCTAAGAAATAAGCTCGGAAAAATGTACCTAAATGATATCCTATAGTTCATTTGTTTTTCATTCTCTGTCAGTTTGAATGTTGACAGATGTCATACTTGCTATTTAGGCCACTAAGAGGCATTATCAACAGATGCTTCTAAGGTCTACAAATGGACACACTTTCTGTTTAAAACATGTATATGCCATGAATAATAAATGACAACACTTACAGGAGGATGTTCCCTTAATGGAGATATCAGTGGATCTTCAGCCCTATAACAGAGGACAATATTTCTGCAAATAAATCAGTGGTCTCTGTAATAAGAGACGCTGGACTGTAGACTAGATTTCTGACTGTGAGTTTATTACTCAAGTGGAGTCCTCTCAGGTATTGCAGCTGTCCGTTTGTAATGAAGAGAGCCAGGACAGAAATAGGCATGATCACAGCTACCTCCTCCAGAAATACAGCATGACAACCTGTTCATAAATAATGTATATTAAACAAACACTCAGAAAAACAGCAAAGCAAAAGCAAAAACATTTGCATTTCCTGAAGGAAATACAGTGTTTGCCAGGTAGTAAAAGTTTTTGTTATACTAACAAGTAAACTCTAACAGATTGATAAGCACAAATAATAATAATAATTATTATTATTATTGTTGTTGCTGCCACTACAATAATAATAATTAGTATTATTTTAATTAAAAACAACAAAATAATGGGTTGTGTCATCATTATTGTTGTTTTTGCTGTTTATATTATTTGTACGGATAATAATAACATAATAATAACAATAATTATTAGTATCGTTATTAACAACAACAATGAACACTATTGTTGTTGCTGTTGTCATTGTAGTGACAACAACAATAATAATGTTCATTGTTGTTAATAACTATAATAATAATAATAATAATAATGTTGTTCTTAACAACAGCAATGATAATAGTAATTGTCATTATTATTATTGATTTTGTTGTTGTTGTTTTTATATTGTTGTTGTAGCTGTTATTTATATTAGTTGTAATGATGATGATAATAATAATAATAATAATAATATTTAATGTTAAAATAATAATTAAATAAAAAAAATTAAGAATACATATTTATAAACTAAAATACATTTTTGGTCAAATCAAATCTTAAAATATTAAATCTTAAATCAAAATATTAAAATATTGTGATTAATTCGTAATTTAACTTTCAATTGCAAACTCAAACTGTTATGATCATATAATTTGTAATGAAGAAACTATAAAATTTAAATGACATCTAAAAATGCTAAATAGACACAATTTCACTAGCGGTCAATTTGAGCTCAAACAAAGATTGCCTTTAAGTTCAAAACTTCAAGAATTTTATTTGTATTAGTTGCAGGGATAATAATAACATGATATTAACAATAACAACAACAACAATATTTGTTGCTACAATTGTTAATATAGTAATTGTTGTTATTATTGCTGTTGTAGTAACAACAACAATAATAATGGTAATTGTCCTTACTATTGTTGTTAGTGATGATAATAATAACAATAACAATGACAATAAATATTAATATAATAATAATGTATTATTATTATTATTCTTAGCCTGCAAAAATTAAATCAGTGTCAGTAGAGGATTTTAAAAACTTTATAAGCTACTTTTCTCAAAAGCATAAAGTCCATAGTAGGGATGGAACGATTACCGGTTTCACGATAAATCACGATAAAATGCCCTGACGGTTAGTATTACCTTTTAAAATTTAATTATCATCAAAACCGTGTTTGATTATCGCGCTTTTGAAAATTCGCGGTAAATCCTGTCCAGCCAGCATCAGTCTGACGCAGAAGCAGCATGCAATGTGGTTGTT